AATAAATTATTATTTTATTTAAAAAATACTAAATACAATTAAATTTTCCAGGCAAATTTGCCTGGAATATAGTTTAAGGGATAAATATAGTTGAATATTGAAATATGATATTACATGATTAGAGATAATAATAAATTATAACCAAATTACTAAATTTTAAAATAATTTTTTTTTTACAATCTATTAATTAAAGTTTTTCAAAAGTAAATTTTGGTTATATTTACTTATTAGATAAAATCAAAATGTTTTCTCCAAAATTCAAATCTTAAAAAATCACTATCAATTATGTGTTAGCTTAACTGATATATAACTAATAAAAAATTTTTAAGTTTTGAATTCTGAAAAAAACATTTTAATTTTATCTAATAATTAAATATAACCAGAATTTATTTCTAAACAACTTTATTTAATAGATTGTGAAGAAAAAATTATTTCAAACTTTAACAATTTGTTTATAACTGATCATAACTAATTATAACTGTTGCTATTCCTACATATGACATGACAATTAAGTTTCAGAAAAGTAGCAATACCAAAAATACAAATCATAATATGAAATAAGTGTTGCCAAGAAGAACTTGCAAATCGTATATAATAAGATTTGTATGTTTTATTTTGGTGTAGTGCTTGAATTCATTGAACAAATCTGTTAAATAATTTATTTGGTAGATATTTAATAATACTGGTCGAGCTTTTATAAATTTGATGCAAAAATCACATGCCAGAACACTTAATATAAAGTTACATTACAATTTACAATTTTGTAAATTTCAATGCAAATTTATTTGTAAATTGAATCCCAACCCTGCTTATCAAGGAGGCAAACCACTTTATGATATTGAACTCTCATTAAGTTATACTTTATTCTAAACTGAAATTTCCTATAGTAATAAGATAATAAGAATCAAAAATAGTAAGATATTGGAATGTTAAATATTCTTATTTTATAGCACGTGGATACTGTGATCTATTGGCTAGTTTAAAACAAATTCCAATAGGTTGATATTTACGAAGGTCCGTATTCCCGATCCATACTTTCATGCACGGAGTTTACAAATCTCCCCCACCAACTTCACTTACACTTGTATAGTACAAATTGATTAATAACATAGCCAATCAGACAGGGATGGTAAATGAACTTCAAATAACCTCAAATAACACCAATTTTATTATGAATTTTAGTGTGAAATGACCTAGATCATTTGAAAAAAAGGCTAATTTTACTATCCCTGCAATTAGAAGTGATGGGGGAAGTTAGTAAAACCAAACTTACGTAAATTACGTATATATAACTTTGTACCACAATCTTACAATAACCCATTTTATCGATAACTTGGAACTAGATTTAACTAGGAAGGATCAAACTTGTTCTACTCATATTACTAAATTTCTACTTAATCGCTGTATTTTTCCATAAATTAGTGATTCGACCCGTGCTAACTCATGGTTTATGAATTAACATCAAAAAGTACACGAATATTAGAATCAAGCTAAATTATTCCTAATTGTTCTAATAATTTCTTTGCACTATCATTTCCATAAGCAGCAGCTAATTTTAATTTTTCTATTGCAAGCTCACGATTTTTTTCAACTAGAAACTTTCCATTTAAATATAGGTCTCCTAAATTATATAGCGCTACATGATTTCCCAGTTCGGCAGCCATCGTTAAGTACGTTTTGAATTCTTCAATCTCAGCAGGTGTGTACTTTTTGTCTCGTTTTGATATAATGGCAAATGCATAACGTAATTGTGCCCCAGAGACTCCATCATCTGCCGCCTCTTTAAAGAGCCGAATGGCCTCTTCTCGATTTTTTTCAACGTGATAACCTTCCCATAAATAGTACCCTTTCCAATATTTAGCATATAGATTTCCAAGCTCAGCATTTTCCGAAAAACATTCCCATGCTAGCCTTCTTTTTTCTTTTATCGTTTCATAAGGTTCATTTCTTCTTATTTGCTGATGAATTTTTAATCCTTCATCAAGAGGCATGATCGTCTTTATACATGAATCATTAATTGTGAGGCCTTCAAGGTCATCATATACTTCCGAGTATTTTAACCCATCTAGGTCTAGAGTTTTGTCTGGATATATTTTTGGCAAGGCGCCACGTTCAACGTACTTGTCGCACAACTCTTCTATTCGTATAAGTAACTCTCCTAAATTTAGTCGTTGATCTGGATAATGATGCCAAGCTTGAAAAATAAGATGATTCAAGCTAATTAGACAAGTTATTCAGAATATGAAATAAAATATATACACGCAAAAACTATAAGTATATATACCAGATTTGATAATTTCTGCCAATTTTTGCTGAATTTCTTTCTCTTTTTGAGTTGCTTTACCAAAAACAAGTCTTTCCCTGCCACCACTTTGTACGTGTTTTTTTATTTCTTTAAGATTCTGATTGTATCTACTATACGGATATTTTTCAAACACAAGTTCCCAGAGCATCATTCCAAAGCTTTATAAAATTTTAAAATAAATGAGTCCAATTATTTTTTAAATAATTAATTAAATAGGGAATTACTATTTCAACCATGGTAATTTGCTATTCCACCATAAATAACTAACATCATAAAATCTAACCCGACCCTAACCCTAATTCTGGCTATGATCCACATATCCATGATGGAAATTTCCATAGTGGACAGCAAATCGCTTTAAAGATGATTACTTAATTACCTGAAAATTTCGCATTTTGTATCATGTCTTTTTCCATCCATTTTTTCTGGGGCCATCCACCGCAAAACGTTTAGATCTGGAGGTTTCCTAGTTTCATTGTTAACCTCCCTAACGATATCGAAATTTGCAATCTTTGGCTCATAACGTTCAGTTAACTATTTTAATATTTAGAATTATGAACATTCGAATTTAAAAATATTTGGATATTAATTATAAATTTCGTGTAAATTTCTTACCATAATATTCTCACAACGAATGTTCCGGTGAAGTATATTCACTGAATTTAAAAATGCAATACCACGACATATACCTCGAGCTAGAATTACTTTGGTTTCCCATCCAATATCATGACGGTTATAAAGGTCTTTCAAAGATCCTAATTCCGCCCATTCTAAAACTTGTATATCTTTTCCTTCATCTCTAGATAACCCATAGAATTTGAGAATGTATGGACATGTACCTAATTTTGCCATCAATGCTAAATATGTTCGGTATTCTGTTTTTTCGGAAAGATATATAAGCTTACACTCAACTTCAATGACTCTTCTGTACAGTCTCTTATCTCTTTTCGAATTATGAGGTGCTAAGGATAAGCGGCAATATTGTAATTGTTCATTGCTTATTTGTTCCGGTTTATAAACTTTATAAACTGATTTATCGCCTGAATGGTAATGATGATTATTATACTTTTCTTCAATTTCTTCAAGTTGTGACCTCATTATTTGAACTTCTTGGGCAACTGCCTCGACCTTTTCAATGACAGATTCTCTAGTATAAGTAAGAAGCTATTTATATGTATCATAGTTAATGTTAGATTATAAATATTAATAATATTTTTTATTTATTATTTATACGAAATTATTTTTCTATATAATAACCTTTTTTATTTCGTCATGATCTTCTTCCAAACTTTCAACATCTCTTTTTCTCCGTGTTTCGTTGCCACTAGTACTGAAGTTCAAATCTCTCATTATTGCGTCGAACTCTCCTGTCAAACTTATAAACTTTTCTTTGATTATACTTGCTTCGAACGTTTTTCTAAAATTTCCCATTTTTGATAATTCCTCCTCGAATGCCTTAATTTTGATTAAAGTATTCGTAAATCTTTGAAAAGTATTGTAAAAATTTTGATCATTAAATTTTTTTTCATTAATTTTTTTTGTTCGTTTTAATTTTTCAATCGCTCCACTAGCATCAATCACACGTTCCATTAACCTGGCACATGTATTTTTGTTATATTGAGCCGCATCATGAAGATCTATAATGTTATTAATTAATCTCTTTGCATCATCGAATAATGGTATATATGGAGCTACGGCGTCATTAAACTTTCCTGTCATATAGCCTGCTCCTTTGCCATAGTCTTTTAAAGTATTGCTATCGCTGCGATTATTTCCAAAGTTTATATTGCTCGCAACTCTCCCTGTCATATAGATTGTTTCTTTGTTACAGTCTTTTACATTATCGCTGTGATCATTTCCAAAGCTTATATTACAGTATTACTCGTTATTATATCTCCTAAAATCTTCCATTTAAAAAATTCTGAAGTTTTTACACCAACATCAACTGCGATATGATCTTTCCCATTTGTATCAATTCCACACCATTTCATCGTGACATTATCCAACATTTCGCTTCGTGTCTCTTCGGACTTATATTGTACAGATATCACATCTAAGTTTAGTCCGGTTTTTGAATAATGCCTAAGTTTACTTTTAATAATTTGGGTTTTGTTAAAATTTTTTGAATCAAATCCTGTAACAAAAATGCACGAAGTCAGCCATGTAGGCAATGAAATTTCAATATTAATTGGTAATTGTCCTTTTAATATTTTCTTTCCATATACAATTTTGATATCTCGAGAATTTCTGCTGAAGTATCCATGTCCTTTGGCAAGTATCATCCAAAAAACTTGGGCACCAACGGGCACGCTGCGTATAGATATGTTTTTAAAACAAAAATTAGTATAGCATATAATAATTAAAAAATATATATATATAGTACAAAATACCTTTTATTATCAAGTTTATGAATGGTAGCTCGACATCCATATTGATTTGCTAAATTAAATCGTATAAACACGTCTGATACATTTTTTTCATCAATAACCAAGCAACCAAAAATTTCATATTTGTTATCTTGAAGGGGATTCTCAAATTGAATATTCACAGATGTTTGATTGCTGTGCGTGATTTTAGTAAAACCCGTCATGACAATGTGGTAATTATCTGAAACTATGCTTTTTATATCATTCTGTCTATCTTTTGGCAATATTTCGTATAAAGGAATTAGATCTTGCATCACTGTCTTCCAATTTTGTTTTTCATACAAGTATTTTAACTTGAAATAAATCTCACTCCTATCCACTATATCGCCGTTAGAAAAAGAATGATGTATCTAAATTTTTTACAGATTTGTTCCATTCCATAAGTTTATCTTCTATAATTCTGGATTCATCTCTATTCATGTTTAAATCAATACGATCATCGTTCACATGTTGGTCATTATTATCAGATTTATAAACCTTTGAAAAAGTTATTCCAAGAATAATGCTCCGAGGACAAAAATATCCAAATTTATCAAAAACATATTTCAAGTTACGAAATGGATAGTTGCTATTAAGTGCTTCATCCACTGCTTCCAAAAATTTTTTAGAAGGTCTTAATTTATCTTTGTTAAATGTCAATTTAATTTTCTCCGATTCGATAAAACAATGAATCTCATTAAAAATATGCTGATTATAAAATATGGGATGAAGATTTGTTAAACTTTCTGCTAAAAATGGAATTGCTGTTGCATTAATGTCATCGATCCTAATGTGGTTTGCTAGAGTGAATGCTTCTTTTTTGCTAAAGGGTTGCCGTAAATACATATACGACTTATCTAATAAACTTATCTCAGGTATTTCAAGAAATTCCAATGCAACTTCTAATCCATGCCTTACATTGTTTTGTCGAACAGTTAAACCATAATGAAAATATAGATTATTAATCCAATGGCATAAATATAATATAGGTGAACTCTCTGATTTAATCCAATCATTTAAACTTTCAGGAATAAGACTATTAGCGATATGCGGAACAATCTTAGGTTCAATATTGACTTCGTGAAGCTTTCCACAAACTTTAAATATCTTTTGCTTGAGTTTATTTTCGAGTAATGTATATGTCGGAACAATTTTCTTAAATGCAATTACATGTTCTCTTTTATGTTCATAAACTTCTTCCATCCAAGCCTTTAATTCATGCCCAGAAGTAATTTTTTGACCATCCATATCTTCTATTGTAAAAATATTATTGAATGGAACTTGACCAAATACATTAGAATTCCCTGAAAAAATATGATCATTAATCCAATACAAGTTAGCTTTTAAAATGTCCAAATCGTATATAATCAATTTCCTGTCTTTAGGCCATGTTGATTTGATCCTAAGTGCCCCACCAATGTCAACGTCTTCCGCTATGTAATCACCATATTTCTCAAAAACTTTTTGAACAGATTTCTGATCTGGGTTTTTTAGTACCTCTTCAATAGCTTTAAGAAATCCGTCAACCGCTTTAAAATTACCATATTTAATATTAAGGAGCGGAATATGTAAACACATGTCAATTTCTTCTAATTTTGAGGTAGAAACACATTCATTGTTTAATCGTTCGAACGGATTGTAAGATTTGTTCGTATAAAATAGAGCAGGTTGTGTGATTTTATGAAAAGTGATTGTTCCATCACCCGTGAGAATTTCTTCACCATGGACAAAAGTATTGCCGTGAACTCTCAATCCTTTAAGTAAATTCCATTGGAACTTATTGTTAGGATCCTGAGAATCCTGAGAAATCGCCTGTATGTCATTTGAATCATCTTCAATCAATGTTTCAATAACAGTACTTCCGCCATACAAGCTAGGTGCAGTATGAGATTTGCTGGGTTTGAAATAAGAATTAATATCTAGTTCAATAGTGTCTTCATAAATTGATATGATTTCTTTTACATCGACATGTTCAAGCTTCTTAAGGGCTATTAAACAATCTGGGCGTTTGTCTTAAAAAAGCAAATCAAACCAATAGCTTGTTTTAATTTATTATATATTTATATTTATAGGCTGAATAATCTAGTCTATTTATTGCGCTTGCAAAATTGTTGATCCTATGACTTTTTTTTTTTTTTAGTAATTGGGATTGCGAGACTGCCGGCAACAATCTTCCTACTCAATGCAGTTTGAAAAGAGACTTACCCTATGATTTTCGTAAAGATTCCAAATTGCCTATCGATCATATTTTTCAATCAGAAATTTTTAAAATTGTCGGAGAATTAGAAAATTCGTTAGAATCTACTAACATGACATCACACAATGGCTGTTTTTTTTTTTAAAAAAAAAAGAAGTCATAGCGAGGGGACCACATAATTTTGCAAAGTACAATAACGATAAGTATTCCCCATAGACTTCACCTGGATTATCCTGCCAACAATCCTGATATAATTCGTAATATTTAACGGGTGTCCCAACAATTGGTTCTTCTCTTTTACCATTAATAATATGCTCAAACATTCTCATTGGTGTTAAGCTTTCATAAGGTTTGAGACTGCTAGAAATTTGCCAGAGCAAAACTCCCAAACTATAAATGTTGGATTTGGCACCATATATATTTGATGAGTTATCTTTGCCATAAGAATTTTTGGCAAATACTTTCTCTAATGTCAGTGCCCGAGGCTCGATGTATGGAATATTTTCAAAATCATTTGATTTAAATACGGTTAGGACTCCAAAATTTGTTAATTTCAGAGTATTATTATGAAGAAGAATATTTTTTGGATTCTAGTTAATTAATAAAGAATAGATAGTAGATTAGATTACATATCTATTCCATAATGATAATTGTCGCGATTGATTCTAGAAATGGTTGATGTTGAACATTGAACTTATTTCAATATGAAAATTTCAGTTTTTTTTGCTTTTTGTTTTTTGGTACATTTGGTTAAAGCTGATAATAAAAGAATATAAGTGGAATTTTATTGGAGTTCATATTTTCAAATAAGCCTCTGATTTCAAGTATCAACCACGACAATAATTAAGATTCAGAATCTTACAATATAATTGGGCAAATGCACACGTCAACAAATTATTCAAATTTGATATAAATATCTACGTGAAAAAAAAATTTACCAAACTCGGATGAACTATTTGTTGGTTATGAAGAAATTCCAACCCATTTATTAATTGTGACGCTAAATTTATTCTTTCTTCCCAAGTGAGCTCATTTTTTTCCAAATATTCCATAAGATTTCCTTGATTTTCTTCCACGAGCAGGTAACATTCGAGAGACCTTGCGCCTTTGATATATATTGTATTAATAATTTATGAAAAAACTTGATATGTTTTTTTGCACATAATTTGACATACTTTGAGAAATAAATGCCTTAGCAATATTCGTATGTTCCAACCCCTTGAAATATATGGTTGTTTAGATTTCTTTCATATTACTTGCAATATGAATTTGGTTCATAAAATTTACCGTAGAAAATATTGTTCTCATTTCTTCTTCATCGATTTTTATGTCATCAAAATCAGTCAAGCTATGATAAGTAAATTTTAAACCGTTCAAATTGACACAAGGACGCGAAAGAATGCCATCTTTTTTACGCTTTATAGCATCTAAATTTAAGCTGTCAAAATTTATTAATTTTATATCTTTATTATCGATCGCACGCTCTAACCAATCAAACAAGGATGTCATGTTATAAACAATAAAACATTCTGAAAAGCATTGAGGAAGTTCGTTTTGATTGGTTGTTATGATACCCCGGAAAAAATGTCGATAATACCCCGGATAGCATCGTGGTCTTTAAATCCGATTGGTCAATTACTGAAATGTATCGTCACACATACACCGCATATATCATCTGACTTTTAAACGAATTGTCTGCCACGAAAACGAATTGTCCAGGGGAACCAAATACATATTCAGAAACTACACCTTTCGCTCTATATACTATCAAAATAATCACGAAAACAGAGGAATAATCATGAGGGTTTGCTATAGAGCGTTTGTTTTAATTCAGTTGTTACTTACAGTGCCCTCCAAAAGTTTCCCCGCACCTATATTTCCTCATAGAGAGATGTTACGACCTTGAAACTTTCCAAAAAGTTAGTACATGCATAGATTAGGTCGTGTATTTGTTTTTAAGATTTTTTAATCACTAGAAAAAAGATTAGATGAGAGCTAAAGTTGGAACGTTTTTTGTTCAAAAAAGGTAAACAAATTAATTGAATTCAAAGAATAATTAATATATCGTCAAGGCTTAATCTAAAATTTCTAAATAATTGTATATTATAATTTAATGATTTTTGTAGTAGTGACAAAAATATGACTCGGTTTAATGAGATTGTTATTGAGAAATTAATTTTTAAAGTTTTGAATTTTATTTTCATCATGTTTGATTTGTTGATACCTGATTCTTTTTGTATTACAATACATTTTTCATGAATATCTCATGTTCTAACAGTCCAAATTTGATGATTTGGATATCATTCGAATTGTCTTATCAAGTCGATTCAAATGATATCAAAATCCTTAAATTTAGATCACTAGATATTGAGATAATTTTGATTAAAAAAGTTTTTACTTTGTAATTTTAAAAATGAAAATTAAAATTTTAAAATTAATTTCTCAACAATTATCTCATCAAATCGAGCTAAATTTTTTATCACTACTACAGAAATCATTGAATTTTAATATACTAATTTTTTAGAATTTTTAGCTTTAAGTTTTGATAATATGTTGATTTTTTCTTTGAATTCAATTAATTTTTTTATTTTTAAAAAAAAATTCTCAAATTTGGCTCTTATCTAAACATTTTTCTAGTAATTAAAAAATCTTTCAAAAAAAAGACATGACCTAATCTATATATGTATTAACTTTACTAAAAGTTTCAAGGTTGTAGTACCTCTTTATGAAGAAATTTAGATGCAGAGAAACTTTTGTTGAGCACTGTATACTATATAAGAATCTCTAAAACAAAAAAAATAACTTTTTTTTTGTATTGATAGAAGTCAAAACTGGGTCCAGCTTTTGTAATCTTAAATCTAATAAATAAACTTAAAAAATTTGTCAAAACTATTGGAAGTTAGGTTTGAGTTTGCTTACTATTTACTTGCAATTGTTTATTATTTCTTTTAATTTATTTACAAAATATTAATTTAATTATTTTTTGTTATTATTTATTGTTAGCAATTTAGTTTTGGTACAAGCTCTTTATAAACATATCTAATAGTTTGTTAAAATTTAAAATTTAAAATATTGATAGTTTTTTTTAAAAATCTAATTAAATTATATATATAACAATAATTCTTAGACCAAAATAATAAGTATAAGTTATTGTAATTATTATAATTTAAATAAATATATCTTTTATTAATTAATACTGTTATATTTTGTGAAATATTTTACTTTGAGTTCATTTAGTATAAGTCTATTAGCCAATCAAATATTGTAAAATCACGAAATGATTTACAAAAATTAACTAATTGAAATAAAAGCCTACTATGCTACTCTGAATAGATTATTAACTATATCCAGATGATTACGAACTTTTAATACTCTCTAAAGATACTTTTATAGTACATTAATTCAGTTTTATAATAACTATTTTAATTCAAATTCATGAAATATATATATATTTTTTTTATAATTTGGCAGTCCTGCCACTTTTTATTTGCAGATTAAACTAAATTAAGAAATTTATATTCCCTAATAATAGCTATGCTTAGTAATATAAATTGGATCCATGTAGTAGACACAGCGCATATAGATTTAAATTTGCGCATATAACAGCACTCTCTATATATATAAAGCGCATATAGATTTCTTTTTTGTATGCATTTGTTTTGTGTTTGTACCAATAAAAATTTTTTAAATTTATAACACTGGCTATGCTAATTTACCAAAAAGTAGCTTACCCACACTTTTGCCAAATATGATTTGCCTCAATGGACTTCAAGCCTCTCTTTGGGCCCCTAACTCACTAGAGGTTATCCTTTGGTCATAGGCTGGTGCCACACACCGTATTAAAGTTAGCTTTTCTTTTTACTAAATGAAATATAAATACAAATGTAAAGGGCATAACAAAAATAGAGAAATACTATGGTGTTGAGTTCTGGTTTATCTAAACTAATAAAACCAAATAAAACAAATAACGAAAAAAAAGAAAACAAAACAAAACAAAACAAAGATAGTATTATTAAACCTGTACTAGATTGTAAAAATTATATAGTACTACAAATAATCTAAACTAAAACTCTATACTAGTTATTTATATCTATATTCAGGATGTAAAATATCAAAAACTATCTGATCTTGAAGTAGAGCTCCAAGGGTCAAACCTTTTAATACTATCTCAAACCATCAACAAGCCTTCTGCAATATTTCAATCTATAACTTCTTGGGCAAAGTTTGCGAGCTGTTGTCCATTGATCCATGCTGGTAGTTTGGGTACTCTCAGTGTAACCACTATAACCTCTTGAAAAAAGTATCCAACACTATAACATATATACATATATATATATTTTCTTTTTCAGCAGCGATTATTATTGTCAATCTTTTGATAGAAGTACATCATTTTTCCTACTTTTTGGAGAAATTTCGTAAAGACCAAGAGAGTAGAGTATGGAAGAGGATTTTGGTTTGCAGGTAGCCTTAAACTTTAGTAAGAAGTGTATTGAAAACTCGCTTGTTGTTCTTCTTAGACCAATTATCTTTAACTTCATTAACAGAAGCAGAGTTTTTATTAAAATTTTTTGTACAAAGGTACCATCTTCTTGTCAGTTATCTTATACAAGAATGCTTTTAACTTGCATGCCGAATATACAGAGGAGTTCAGAGAAAGAACATGACAAGCCTTGACCTCTGTAAAAACTGTTATTGTAGTTGTTTCTTCTACTTTTCTCTAACAAGTTTCTGTTTTCATTAGCCATAAGTTTGATATGAGTGATCGTTGAGGAAAGTTGTATATAATTATATTAAATTCACAAAGTATATATCTGTATTATTTATTTTGTAATAAGTATATCATTTTGAAAAAATTTTTAGTTCACTTCAAATTACATTATTATATATATATATTACTACTTTACAACATTTTATATCTTTTTTTTATTTTTTTATTTTTTTTTAACTATCAGCAGCCTTGCCAGTATCTTTATTAGATCAAAGCATATATATTCATAGGCTGAAATTCGTCTAATTGGCTAGTTTCATAAATCAATTTGTAGATCTACATGTGATTATTAGCCAATCAGATCACATAATTTGCAATTCGTCATTTATAATATTACGG